CTCTTACCCTACTGAATAATTTACTACATTTAATATAAAAGAAAAGAGATTTTTTCCCCCCCAATTGTACAGTTTCTGAACCCCGTTACTGACAGGCCCTGCCTATGCAGGGGGTAAATATTTCATACCAAAGCAACATTTTCCTACACACCAGCTAGAAGGTGAAGCAAAGCCAGCAATTGTGCTGGTATCCGGCAAGCTCTGCTCTCAATGCTCCCATTATACATGTTTGCCATGTACAAATCCCCTTCAAGCTGGAACCACACACTAAGCCAAGCAGGTGGCCGCTCTCTTATTCCCCCTTGCAAAACATTTTAAGTCCTGAATGGAAATGAGATTACATTCACACCTGCATCAGTTTCTTTGCATATCCAAAAGTGAAATAGAGTTTAGTTTGCTGAGCTGATCAGCAAAACCCATTCCAAATCATATCTGGCCACGGCAAATCAACTGATCTGATCTCATGTCAACAAAATATAATTGACCTCAAAGAACAAGAGAAGCAAATGTACTATTTTTTTTATAAGCGTTTTCTAAAAAGTTACCTAAAGCGCACACCAAATTATTTTCAAATATCACAGTTCTCATACATGAAATAAACCCATTTACATCTACTATCACACATGAACAGCAAGAGAAAAGGGCTTATCTGCAAAGGTGATACATTTCTACTCCGAAGAGAAACCACAGACAATCTTAAGAAGGTGCAAGCTGCAGAAGAAAAGGGGAGGAGAAAAAGGGAAGGGGGAGAAAAAAAAAAAAGCAACCAAAAAACTTCTGAGGCCGACGTTAGTTACTGTTCAGCAGCACCGCTGCCGTTATCAAGAAGCCAAGAGCCGCTTACTGTTTTATAATGGTCACAGGAAAATTTACTTCTCCCGCGAGCAGGGACCTGAAAGGTCATACTACTTATTGGCATATTTAACATGAACGTATACTGCTCGAGTCCAGCTTGCTCTTCCTTCTCAAGGCATCTACAGTTAAATGATGATATATACGCTGGCCTGTGAAGCTTGGACAGTTAATTTTAGCTGAAGTCATGCAGGCACGGTGCTCAGATTTCTTACGCTGTCACATTTTACAACTCCCACTCCTCCGGCAGCTCTTCGCTTACACCCCCACCGCTCCCTTCTCTTACTACTGTCTCTACCACAGAGTTTTAATGTTTGACATCAATTTCAAACTGGATTAATATATTTTTATCCACACTCTTAAATAATGAAGCTATTCGCAGCAAGTGTAAAATTTGGCAGGTCTTTTGTGTTAGACACTGTAGGCATTAAGAGACAACTACTAAAAAAATTGTTGTGGTTTTTTTGTTTGTTGGGGGTTTTTTTTTGTTTTGTTTTTTTACACACTACCCACTATAGAGAGAACCTCCTTCATCTAAATGCTCCCAATGTCTGTGGAAATTTATGCTCTGAATGGAAATCCAAAATTTTGCATGCTGCCCCTATACTTGTAACAGGCCAAACAAAAATCCAGATATATCCTTTTTCAAAATTTGGAGCATTCACAATATTGATCAAACGTCTGAAGGTTGTATCTATCACAAATGCAAGCTAGGAAGTGTAAGGCTGAATTAGACCTCGCATGGACACCTGCACAACCTGCCTGTTTTCCTGAGCAAGGACTGGTACAGACAGCAAGGGCTGCCTGTCCTCTGGCAGGACCCCACCGCATGCAAGTCACCCCAAATCCCACGGTCTGACCATGTTGCTGGCGTTCCTTAAAAATACACAGAATTGGCCCATGCAAGCTGCTTTCCTTGAATTTTTTAGTATTAAAAAAACAACGTTGCCAATGTTGACAAGGTGAGAAGTGATGACTCCTTCACCTCCCCTCTTGCCAAGTTGAAGGATAGATGTCTGACACGTTAACTGTTTATTTTTCAAAAGGCACACTTCTGCCAGAAAAAAAAAAAAAAAAAAAAAAAAAAAAAAAGCTATAGGGGTCTTTTAACTGCTCCATGAAAAGTAAATAACTTGGTAGCCACGCTGTCTCCACATCAGCTCTCCCCTCCAGCAAAGCCCACTCACCGCCAGCCGAGGTGTGTGTGTGTTTTGGGGAGGTGGGGGACCAGCAGGGCTTTGATAGTTTGAAGAGAACATAACGGACCGTGACTATCCAAGACATGAAGTAGCTGCTTTACCGACATAGCACTAGGTGCTGTGCCTCCAACGTGCCCGGGAACACTCGACTGCGCCACAAGCAACAGCTCTGCTAATGCAAAGGCAGGCACCGGATTGAGTGTGAGAAGGGGGAGGTTTGCACAGGTTCCCCCCCCCCAAAACCCTGACCATTGAGGAAGGAAGAGAGATCTAACTTCAGGCAACCACAGGCTTAAATACAGCTTTCTGCTTTAAGCATCCAATGCTACAATCCTCAACGTGGTCAGTTCCCAAAACCCAATGTCATTTTGGCATGCTTGGCCTGTGACAGCAAATAAGTCTTCTGAACTTTTCTAATTAAGACAGACTCTCCTCTATTTGGGAAAGGCCTATCAGCCTGTTCCAAACAGCTGCTATAATTTCATTGGTATTTTTCACCTGGGGTCACAAATCTGTATGGCTTCAGCATCATCTCCTCCGGGCAGACAGCCACAGCCAGGATCAAACCAGACAAACTGTCACTGCTGTATGGGACTCTGAGAAAGAAAGGGTAAGGAAAATACTCCAAGAGATAATAACAATCTGAAGAGGGCTGGAAATGAAACCTGACTTGCCATGTAGCATCTTAAGCACAAACTCATTCCTCTATTCCATTTTTTCTTGATTGCTTAGAGGATTAATTCACCAAAACAATGTTCACAGTTGTGAAGCAACTCCAAATGAAAGTAAAATTGGTCTCAAAGGCACATGACTCTAAACCATTTCAACTCCTAGGGATGTGTGTAGATGAAAGCTATCTGATCCAAAACAGAAACATTACAAAGGATTTTCTTAATTTTTAACAAAAGCAATTTGCTGTGGGGATTAGGGAATTACAGAAATTGGCCTTTGTCTCGTCCGAGAGATCAAATCCTAGCCCTCTTTCAGCCAAGAAGGACAAGACAGCATTCCCTTTTGGGTCTGCTTAGTGCTCGATTAAAAAATTGAGTCTTCAAAACCAGAGGCTGGATAGGTTCAGTCCATACCAAGACTCTGAAGTCACCAGCAAACCACCCTCTGCTCCCGTGACCAGGATGCCTAATGACATTCAAAAAACAATGAATCCTCTGCACTGCCTTTCTCACTCTGTAAAATGTAATTTAGTTCAGTGTCCAAGATTTTTCACAAGAGGCAATGCTTCTGAAGTTGCCAGAAGTCGGTGAGAGGTAGTGCTCTCCAACACTTGGAAGGACATAAAGCAAGATGTAACCAAGACACAGATGAAAAAATCAGTGCAACTGAGTTATGAAGGCCAACAACCTATTCATCGCTATAGCTGCTAAGCAAGACGAATGCAAAATCTGGAGACAGAAGGAACAAAAGGAGAAAAAACAAGACGCAAACTTGAGGAAGCATTTAACCACACACTCGCTTCAAGTCTCAATTACTTAGCACACCTTTAACTCTTCTGAAGAGGAAAACTGTACAGAAGCTGGTCATTCAAGAATTACATATTAATTCCATTATTTCTAAAGATTATTGATGGTAAGAGTAAGAATGAGAAGGGACTGATTATCTTTCTAAAAAGTTTTTTGTATATTCTACCCATGCTTCTATTTCTAATGCTCCTCCTGTTCTTGGGCGCTGTCAGAAGTGGGACAGTTGGCTAGACAAACCTTAGGTGTGACCTACTTTTGAAAGACGTATTTTTATTTTAAGCTGCATTTTTAAGGTAGGGAAAAATACTTTCTGACAGCTGAGCACTAATTTGTGTGGCAAAGACTCGATCCCAAAGACGCACAAAAAGACTAAGAATCTCAGAAGGGTTCAGCACAGATTATCACAAGAGCTCAACTTCCACATAGCCATCAAAATAAACAGACAATTTTTCAGACACTTTTTAAAAACCTAAAAAAGCGCGAGGTTTCCAGCATTTTAAAACCTGATGAGAACTTTCTGATGAGGAAGAGGAAAAAAGGAATATATACGTGTATATATTGGCATTGACAGACAGATGGGGACACACAGCCCACACAGGTGCCTGGTCCTAAATGTTCTACTAACGAGATCTTGAGATAAAATTCTTGCATTTGAAAATACTAACAACCCTTTATCCATAGGTGGCAGCATTTCTGGTTTTGTTATGTCATTTACTGTATTGCTAACACATCTAGAAATCAGGCTACAGCAAAAAGCTTTCTGCATACCCAGGGATCACCAGGCTTTTGCCATATTTTACACAAAAGAATAAGGTGGTCTTAATAAATTGTTCCTGCTAAGCGGTTACCAAATCATCCAAGTTGTGCTTTTTTTTTTCCACAAAACAAAAAAATAAAGTGCTGAATTAATTTCCACAAACATAACAAACCTAATCTAATCATCTTGCAGTCAGCCATCTGTTTCACAGATACGAATCTAATTGAATCTTCTATTGACTGATAACTTTCTAAATTAAATTGCCTATGCTGACCCTGCTTTCAGCTTAGTTCCTCCTGCTTCCATTTAAAGGGTTTGGAGTGTTTTCTATATAATGATCTATACGCCAATTATATAGTTAGAAGACAACTGGTAAGGGTTAAAGCTACACATTTGGCACCAGATCAAACTCAAAAGTGCAGAGAAGGGCAGTGTCCCCGTCTATGATGCAGACTACAGGAATATAGGAAAAAGAAGTACTAAAGCACAGAGGTTACAGTGAAAACTCCTTAGTTCCCCATTCTCCACTATAGTCTGTGTCACACAGAGACCTTTTCAGCCAAATGTATTTGTATATTTATGAAGAATTTAAGAAATACCCCTCCTAACGGGAAACAGCTAGCCTAAGTAATTAGAGTTTACAGCTATATAAAAGGATGAGTATTTTTATCCCTAAAGGCCATTTACAGACATGCTAGCCAAGACCCCAGTTACCAATTCACTGTCTTTGGGATGAAGAACGATCCTCTCCGTGACATAAGAGGAAAATTCTGCTTCTCCATTCCCCGCTGACCTTATGCGTTGCTGGGGAAGGAGGGAGCGGGGAGCCTTACTTCCACCGAAGCCGGCCAGCCTGGGCGCTGGGAACCGACTCAGAGACCCAGCAGAGCATCGGCCTGATCCGCGACGGCAAATCCTATGCTCCTAATTAGAGAGGTTCACTGAAGTGACACCAGCCTACGCTTTCATTGATCTGGCGATTAAAATCAATGCTGTAGGGTTTTACTAAAATTTCTGATACTGAACCTCTAACGTAGCCTTCTACAAAAAAAAAAAAAAAAAAAAAAAAAAAAATCCAGTAAAGTAAAATTTAGAGCAGGCTAGTGATTAATAATTTAAAACAGTATTTTATGGTTGATCAAGAAATGAAAGTACAGGCACAATTCCCACAAGCATAGGAGGTTCAGGCATCTCCTCTTGAGAGCTTCCTTGCTTAGCTAGCGGCCGCTTAAAGGCCTTCTGCACCTTCCTGAAAAAATTATTCAAGCAAAGGAAATAATTTTTGCACTGCTCCTGAAGCTTTCTTCAGAAATATATAGAGAACAGTCCTTTAGTAGTACTGTCATGAGGCAGATCTATTGTAGATTTCATCTATTTTCAGCACAAAGGGTTTTAACATGAAGATATTTAAGGGGAATTGCTAAGTCTTGAACAGCATGACCTACCAGGCTAAGACTTTATTATTTTAGTTCCTTACGATCTCTGTTAATACATACCTTTTTAAAATGTGGATGGTTGAAATATTTCTATTCTTATTAATACTCTTTTAACAATTATATGGCAGCACGGAGCTTGATCAAAAGACCTGCAAGCTCTGGAAAATTCAGGAAGCACAACGCAACGACAGCAGGCTGTCCTCGCAGGGGCCTCCGTCACTCAAATTCCTATGTAATTTTATGCACACCTACATAATCTCTCTCTCTCGGTTTGAGATCCTGCATTTAGTTTCCCACATTAATCCTGCTTCTGCTTGAACACCTACACCTAGGAACGTGTGACGCCAGCAAATTTAGGTTCTTAAAATTAGCTGAGTAACAGGTTTAAATGAGAAGAAAAATAATACAGAATTTACAGGGAATAAACCCCTGTAACTAATCCATTGTGGTCATTTTACTGGATATTAAATATTTTACTTTTTTTTTTTTTGTCCCTAAACTTCGTAAACTCTTAGTTTTCCTTCAGACAAGAACACTCACTTTGATCCATGCTATAGATGTGGTCAAATTTTCACCATAGGATGTAGGTGAAAGCACATCTATGTATGAAACTGAGTATGGTTTAAAGTAACATCAGATAAGAATACTGGCTTAGCTGCAGATAAAATCAGAGCAATTTACTGGTAATCATTCGGGAGGACAGAGCCTAGAAACAAGGCTTATGGACATCAGCAAAATCAGTTATTCTTTTTTGCCTGGAGCAAGGGTTGGAGGAATGTAGAACAAAGAGCGTGCTGCTAGTTTAAAAAAAAAAAAAAAAAAAAATCAGAGAGAGAGGGTGTATGCATATATATATATATCCTAAAAATCTTAATTCAGAAATTAACCACAGAGATACCAATACTAGGACAAAAAAACAAAAACAAAAACAAAAAAGCTATCAGGACTGATTGTTTATTTTCCTGCTCAAACACGACAAATATTTATAGCATTACTTTCTCCAGTTCTTTGTCAACTACATTTTGATCTGCATAATCAAAGAAAAGAAAAAAAGAAAGAGTTGCAATAGCTGTTGTAGCGCAATGTTGAGATTTTAGGTTACAGGCCATTTTTTTCAAAAGGCAGGCTAAGAGCACTGTTTAAAACTTGGAATTGTAGCAAATGAATTAAACCACAGGCAGATGGTTGAGTTGCAAATTAAATCTAAAGTTACTATTAAAACAACCTAAAAGAAAAAGGCAGCTCATTGTTTTTTGGGTTTTTTTTGCATTTGTTTTTGTTTTTTTTGTGTGGTTTGTTTTCAGGGTTTTTTTGGTTGGGGTTTTTTTTGGGGGTTTTTTTGTTTTTTTTTTAAAAAAAACAGTGGTGATTCTACTGCAGAACTCCCTAGTACTATCATTTTTGCAGTGTTGTTTTTATCACCTTTGGCAACACTTTTATTGCAAGTTTTGTTTGTGCAATCTCTTAATCACTAGGATGATATGGATTACCCATTTTTAATCTCTACAAGTAACTTCCCAGATTATCTCTTGCAGATTTTCTCCTGAACCATCACTGTTGGATTCTTGAAGAGCAAGACTGCTTGGCATTAGACTTTTACTTGTGATCATATTTACCACTGTAACATGTACGGCAGCCTCAGCAAAATGACAAATATATTTCAAAGAATATAAGCTGGTGACACCCTGTGAGAATCAGAGGGATAGAATTCAGGCAGCTGACAATTAGTGTGTGGTTCTAGGCCAGACCCGCTGCAGCTCAGACATGGACATCTTTTTAAGGACCTCATGGAGGTGAGTGACATTTATAGGCATGCATTAAAGGAGCGCATGCTTGTCCCTATCAGAGCAATTCTGACACAAAGACCAATAAAGAAAAAAAAAATCCCACTGAACTATATAAGAGCTGACAAAGGCAGCAGCTGCTCTGCTCCACAGGGCAAATTTATATTTAGAGTAGGAGTTGGGAAAAACGGATCCTTACAGAAATTAGTTTCAGTTCATCCACTCTGGCCCCAACACTATCTAGGAGACCTGAAGATTCTAGCAGAAACTGTAAGTAAATCAGAGCACAATCTCATTTTTAAAATGTGAGAAGCATCTAAACTCAACCGCATTCTCACTGATGTCTTTTATATAATGCCCTGAAAAATAGATTGGCCATACTTTTTTTTTTTTTTTTTTAAAGTTACATTATAAGGAATCTTTGAGCTTCAGACCACGAGGTCATCATGAAGTGACCATGGCAAAAAAAAATCATCTTTCATTAAGGAAGTAAGTCAAAACACATCAACATCTTATCAGCCTTAGCAATAATTCCATTTAAGATATAAAGCAGCAAATCAATATAGGTTTTACCTTAAGTGCTCTCAAAATTTCATGAAATCACCAACCTTTCAAGTTTAGTGCCATAACACCGGGAGCGGCTGAAGTGCAACTTCATGCTCGCTAGATGTTCCAGTACTCCGGTGAAACTGTCATCTTCTACAGGTTGACTAGGAAAATTAGCCTCTGCCATTCCCATTTAAAAGGTACACTAAATAGCTCATTTGCAGTGATGACAACCATGCCAGACACTACCCCCAAAGGATTATTTTTCTGCACTTAAAAAAATATGTTCACATTTAAGTTCATAGACAAATTCAGACTAGGCACGCAGATGTAGTTCTGAAGAGCATGCAGCAGCAGCAGAAACACTTCCCAACATATGCTGTAAAGAATACTGATAAGCTGGTACAGCAGTGCCTACAAAAGAAACAGATCGCTTTACTATGGTGATATGGGCACTGTTCAGAAGTTCCTAGAGGTTTTGAAGAATGGATACATGTTTTGGCATACGGTATAAGTCCTCAAACTTCATTTGATTAGTGCATAAGGCAAAAATTTACTATTACTACAACACAGTTGACCTAAGAAATAATTATTAAATATGAACTATCTTCAGCAGTAACTGGTAAGAATTGGGATTACTTTAAAATCTAGCGATGTTGAGATTGTAGCCAGAAAATGAAAAAACCCAAGAGCGAATATGTGTATAAAACATGGCATGGAATAATGCTGATGCTTGGTACCCTAAATCAGACTTACCTCCATCAACTCATTAGCTAGTAAAGCCAAGCCACAGTCTGAAGGAGTTGTTAGCACTTGCCTGTTGTGTAAGGGGCAAGGTCTGTGCAGTTTTATATGCTGACATTTGTCCTGTGTTTTGCAAACCAATAATGCAGAAAATAAGCTCTTATCAATCAATTTTGAATGAAACATTTAGGTATGATATAATTGCGTTTAGCACATCTAATACATTCTGTACCTGTACCTTATCAATTTTTCCTTTTTTAGTAATAGTACATTAAAGTATTCTGACAATCGATACGAGTTAGTATTTGTAGTGTTTTAAAACTCACGTCTCTTTAGTGTGATCCTTTACACTTTATAAACTAGGATGTGACAACACTCGGGTAAGGGATAAGGATAAGCGAGGGCTTTGCAAATGCTTCAGGGACACCTGCTTCATGCTGCTGACATTTTATTTTTCCAACTCTCTGCAGATGCTTGTCTCAAAAAGCAAATAAACCAAAGATCAGATTAGCAGACTGGTATTTCCATGGGCACAGCTAAGACTGACAGACCTCATAAAAGTACATACTAGCCCTGGGACCAGCCTCCACCCCCACAGAAGGATTAAACACAATTAGCATCAGTTGTGTCTAACCAGTAAAGCAGATGTCTAACAAAATAATAAACCTGTAACTTTTACATGGGGTTAAAAATAACCCTCTCCTTTTCAATATTTAGCAAGCGATCCATGGGCCCCGAAATGTGTTGCATATTGCTTTATGCTATCTCCAGACTCCCTTATTCTCTAATCAGTCAATTCATCAGCAATCGGTTGTCAGCAAAAAAAAACACAACAAAAAAGCTTGTTGAGCAAATGTCAGAGAACATTAAATTAACCAGTCGAAGATCAGCAATGAACAGCTGACACCAAACTGAACCCAACACATGGCCCCATCTACATTACTGTTAAACACATGTAGCCAATCCTCCAATCGCTCTACCTTCAAAATTACATTAAAGGATCTTTATTTTATAAAACAAAAAAATTTACTTGAGAATGGATAGTAAGCCTAATATTAAGTACCATCATAAAAAATAAGCTATTGCTTTTAGGTAGTTTGGATTCAAGGTACTCTTTTACCTCTGAGTACAAACTAAATTTATTAAGCATTTTCTTTTTAGCTCAAAGTGACCCTGAATGTATTTCTGTATACTTCTATTTGCGTACAAAATGTACGCAATAATAATCTTACAGGAAGGCCTCCCAAGCACCCACTCAAGTCCGTATTAAATTTTCTGCCTGCTTCGTAGAGTCAGGTTGGTTCCTTCGATGAGGAAATAAGTTACGTGTACAGTGGTACAGTGTTACCGCCTCATTAGTTCCAGTCTTCAAGACTTCAAAATAGATTATTCGCATACACAACTAAGAAACAACAATTGAAGGTACCATCTTAAACAGATCTTCTAATGTTGAAGTGGCCATCGTTCCTCACCCGAAGAGCTACAGCTCAAAATCACTAAACGGCTGAGAGCCACAAAACACATCATGGACCTTGGCGAGCCCGAGGGAGGATGTGATCTCAGGTGCAAGATAACAACAACCCTCCTAAGGTCCCACGACTCGCATGTGAAAATTAGCTGGGCTTAGCAGTACAGGTGGGTCCCAAAATAACCTAATGATGCCAGGCTTAAAAGCATCTTTAAGCTTGCTTCTCCCAAAACAAAGATTTCAGATTGTCCCATCAACACCCATGTCAACATACGCCTGCCCCAAAAGCACATGCATTCTTCAGCCTTGCCGCGGATCTCAGTGGAAACAGGATTGGGCCCAGCAACTGATGACTCCAGAGCAGAAAAATCGAGTACCATGCAATATAAATGCATTAAAGAAAGCAAGAAGCCCCATGGCTTTCTCTCCTGGCAGCACAGGCCATTCAGTGCTGTAGCTGTTAATCAGTTAATGACTGGTTATCTGGGGACAAAGAGATATAGTCGCATGTTGTTGTGGGGGCAGGGTACCCAATTACTTACATTCACTCTCTCTCAACAAAGGAAAAAGCCAACCAGGCAATATTTTCAATATTTTAAACACAGGTTGTTGAAGTGACAGGAAAAGAACCATATCTGCATGAGACTAAGGTGCCCAGAATAGCAGGTGTATTTCTGCTTCTTATTCCTTGAAAATAAAGCCCTCTTCACGTCTCTATATGCCTGTCACCCCTCCCACCCCTTGTCTGTCTTATTTAGATAATACTTTTTAGACATATATATACTACATGCCTCCAGGACAAGAGCTGCCAACTTTATGTTTCAGGAGCACCTCATACAACATGGTTGTGATCTCAGTAAATGAACCTAGGCAATCTCAAGATTTAAATAAATGTTTTTCAAAAGGCCAAAAATTTGCCTCCTAAATCCACACTTAGTTATGAAAATAAAGTGTTTTTATGGAAGGCCAGAACAGACTAATTCCCCAGACATCTCATCCTGAGGAATCCTCATATCTTTTATTGTGAATCCTCTCCTAATGTAAATTTTCCACTACAATGTCTTAAACCAAAAATCAAACAACAAATATTTCTACCTTCTAAATTCTAAAACACATATCACAGAGCTCAGGAGAACAAGGTAGCACCTGCGTGGTTTTGGAAGTCTTTGCCAAAACCCAGCCAGAATTCAGGTAATTCTTTGAAAATGCAGATCTTTTCATATACCCTGTATTGAAGCCAGTGGTAGTCTAATTCTGAGCCCAGATTATTTACGTGCATTTTGGTCGTTAAAAAAAAGACTTCTAAAGTTTTTTTTTTTAAAAGGAAACAGCCCTTAAAAAGAGTTTGGTGAATCTCTGAATGGCTGCCATGTGAAGCACAGAGCAGAAAACCAACTTGCTTTATAATGCCCATCTATTTCACAGGTGACGAACACATTACAACGTAGGCATGATGGTGTAAGATGCTAGAACAATGATACGCACCCCGGTAGTTGAAATCAGATACTCAAGGAGTGCTCTTGAAGTTCTCCAGTACTTCCTTTAAAAAGATACTGATAAAAAAAGATACACAACTACTTCTTAGTTCAGAAGCCTCTTTGAAGTATAATGTCCTTCCGCACCAAAATCATCTTCCTTCCTTCACTTTCACAGTAACTACCCTGAAGAAATATTTAAGGAAAGTTATGTAGGGTCATTTTCCTTGGACAACAAGATTAGGATCATTGTAATAAAATCTAGTAACTGCCCAGATAATCTATAAGCAATTTATGTTTGTCAAATAAAACTGTGCACATTTCAAAATGAAAAAGCAGATCCATTATGACAATAAATAAGCTTATCAAAAGGGAATGGTGAATATTTGAAGTAAGACTTTTCAGACAGAAGGGCAGCACAGAAAACATCTGAGCAGTCACAGCCTCACCATAATGACCCTAACCACAAACTATCCGCTAATAAAAAGCGCAAGTATTGGTTGGCAGAGAGACTGAATGCTCACTCACGTGTAAATTTTTAATGAAAATTAAGGCGTATTAAAGGCCTTGCACATTGCCCTGTAAGTCTTCACCTGAAAAATCTCGTACAGTTCTTCTCACCTGTGTTCCTGGAGGAGGAATTCAGACTAGAAACGGTACAGAAAAAGACTTGGGAAATTAAGAAACTGTCTTGTGAAAGAAGACTCTAAGAATTTGGTTTATTCAAGATGTTCTTTGCCTAGGAACGTTGGGGAAGAGGAGCAGAACAGCTAACACACATGCCGGCAAAAACCCCCCAAATGCATACAAATAGGCTATGCGTATGTCCAAGCAGGTAAGGCTGGAGGAAAATTTTGGGGCAGCCTTCCACAAAGAGTAAGAGAATGCAAGCCAATTAGTTTTAAGATTTTATATCCACGAACATGGTGGTATCGTTACGTTAATCAGTACATTGTAACAGTAAAGTCTGACATTGATAAAAAAGAGAAATCCCTCCATCTCACATGCTATTAAATACCCACCATCTGCATCTATCCCTCTGTGCTCTACAATAAAGGAGAGTTAGCACAAAACCACATGCCATTGGGAGTAAACGAAATAACAAGGTTTTTAGAACAGCGTATATAATTTTTAATCTTCCCTCGGTGTCCTGTGAGGGACAGAAGTAAATAAACTAAAATCAAATTGCACTCCCAAAAGGCACCCTGTACCAGAACAGGAATGTTTTTTCAAGGCTAGCCTACCTCAAATCTCTTTCCAGTCTCCATTTACTGCCATAATCACAGAACAGAATTAAATGAGGATCAAATCCCTGCACCAGAATTCTAAATTAAGGCAGACAAATAAATTAATCTGGGATATTTCAGAAAGCCTAAAACAGGCAACATATAGCACCTACATACGTTTTTAGATTTGCACTTCTGAAGTTCCTTATATAAGAAGTATATTTTTTTTAATATTTGCACTGAAATGTGACACAGCTTGTAATAAAACAGTTAT